AAGTTGGCAACAAATTTGCATTGATGATGATCGTCATCAAGTGTCCGGTGATTTATGATAGGCCACTGTACATGTATTACGTATCAACTTTCACGTCAGCAATAGAGGAATTTCAAAACTTGCATTAAACATTTTTACTTAGTTGCCAGAATAAAATTTATGCTGTTTATTTACTGCGTTTACAATTTGTTTTACAAACACATGATCTTGTTCAGATTGGTTATACATGTATCAATTTTAACATGTCAAAACGCGACAACATAGAATTTGTCAACGTCTTGGTTTTTTCTCATAAACTGTGCAAAACTTTTAATTTTCTGTACAAGAATTTTTGATATCATTATTAGTATTTAGTTAAATACGATGTGATTAATGAAGTTAAATTTATTTCTTCTTACATTTTTAAAAACTTTTCATGATGATAACTTATCATTACGTGAGTGTATGTGTCATTAAAGTCATCAAGCATTTACATTTTATATATTCTTAGCTAAGAAATAGATTCAAGATTTAATCCATCAATATAATTAAAAAAGACCTATTCTATTATATTGACAGATTAAATTTTGAATTTACTTTTATTAAGAAGTTTATTCAATTTATAAAATGTAAATGTTTGATGACATGCACCATATATATATATATATATATATATATATATATATATATACATCTCTCTCTCTCTCTCTCTTTCTCTATATCTATATCTATCAAAAATGCATTTAAATATAGGATGTTTCATGCGATAATATGTGTTGATGTTCATAATTACTAAATTTTGTAAGCAAAAATTACAAGAAGTTATAACCAATCAATGTGCATAATGTGAATGTGTGTACAGGTTTTTAAAATTCTTCACCAAGACAATGTTCAAGTTTGTATTTATAACTTCATTTATGTATTGATAATATATACAAAAAATATTGTGCATAAACTTATACAAATTATAAATAACTTGAGTTTATGTAATTAATATGTCTTTGAGCTTCTTGGCATCTATGAAAGCATAGAATATATCTAATTATAGTCTCGTCTTGGCTTATTCTTTTTAAATAATATGAACAATAAATGTATCACTTTTGAATACGCATTATACAGTTTTTTTTTGATGATACAATATAAAATTTAACATGTTAGAAAAGAATCTAATGTTAGTTAATTTCACTTCAGACTTTTCATTTTTGATAAAATCTCATGTTAAGCAAATGCCATGCGATTTTGAAATCATTTTACTCCATCTAGGAAATTATCTTAATTTTCCTGTTCTAATAATTTTTCTCGAAGATATATTTAGATAAAACAAATGAATATGCTGTTCTCGGGTATCGGTGTGGTGGACAACTTTTAATGAACATTTGTATGGTTATAATTATTCTTTTTAGTAAATTAAAAAAGCATTTATGAAGAAATACACAAACTAAAATAAAAATTGATGTCATACCATGACTACTTTATTTGTAGTGTTAAATGATTAATGAAAATTCTAAATATGTACTAAATTACATTATCGTTATGCATTTAATATTATTAAGTGATAATGCATTAACGTTAAATGTTAAAATGTATCGGTATTACATGTATTAGAAATGTTGCACCGGAATTACATGTACCCAATCCAATAAGAAACCAACAAATTTTTTGATCAACCCTATAAAACAAATCCGATACAAAAATTAAAGATGTGAAAATGAAAAAATGATGGAAAAGTATGAATTAGTAAAATGTCGGAGAGACAATTTTACACATAATTTATTTCTCCATATCTAACCCTAACCCTCAGTCTGAACTTAAAATCTGTCTTTAATATCTGAGCCAATCAGAACTTGGAGATTTTAGTAAATATTCGCCACGTATCGCTAAGTTTCAATTATTTTGCATAACACCATACAATTTATAAGTGAGATAATTTCTTGGCAATTAGCGCTAAGTTTATAAATGTCCTTATATAATATAATACTTTACACTAAGTTTACAACTAAGATTAGCCTTATCAAAGGCAATCTATTTCAAAAATAAATTCTATTATAGTAGACTATGTTCTTTGTTGGTAATTGTTTTCTGTAAAGAGGTTTTCTATGAAGTTCGAACTGTTATAAGAATAGATAGATAGCTAGATAGAGATATATATATCAATACAAATTGTTCAGCAATTGATAGATGCTACTAGAAGCTAAATATATTATATACATAAGATTTTAGCGATAAAAAGAATAACTGTCCGTTATTTTAATAAAATAGTATAACCGAATCTATCCGATTTCTAAATATATTATCATTTAAAAGTGTATTATTGCACAATTCCACCAAAAAAGTTTGTTGTAATTTTAATCTCTGTTCTTCATTTTGCTGCTCTATTGGTTCAATCGTATTCATATTCTGCTCTGCATAATCATTATTAAGTAAACTCAAACTCCGTGTTAATTTCAATAGTTCTTCGGTACTCAATTCTGAAAACAAATTTACTTTAGTATTCAATTTATCAGAAATTTGTCCCAAAGTGTTTTGGATAACAGAAGATTCGGTTAGAACGTTTACTTTTTCTTCAATCACGTCAATATGGGTTTCAAACATTCGAATGACTTCTTCGGAAATCTCATTTTCGTTGTTTTCGATTTGGAAATTTTGTTTATTAGATCTTGCGCGTCTTCGTGGAGGGTATGAAACGCCGCGTACTTGAAAAATTGAACGACGACCTGTTGTATCTATTTCAGAACGATTTCGTCGTTTTGTTGTGGAAGATGTAAACGTCTTGGATTTTGAAGCAGTCATTTTCTTGTTTTGTGTTTGTCAAATATATATTTGATGTGGCTATTTAGAAGTTTATCACTTAAAACTTCAATGTTTAGGCAATTCGAGTTCACGCACACAACTTAAAGAAATACGCTGGTATTTATAATTTTTTTCAAATCTTGTAAAGATCATGACGATGCTTTAACTATAATTGGATATAATACAAATTGCGTTCAACTTGCAGTGCTTACGGAAACGATCTAGAAACCGCGATACTTCGCAACTTAGCGACAGGAATTCTTTTTAGCACAACGAGAAACTTTTCAGAATACTTCGCCACGTTAGCATTTAATAATTTTCTCTATAAAATGTACAATTAGTAAGCGGCAGAAATATTCCGCAAGCCTAATGTACAAAGGTTAAATTTTTATCCAATTGGTTACGCCACATTTATAACTTGGCACATGGAAATGACCAAAACTAAGAAAATGAGTGCCAACAACATTGTATATCGATATATATCACAGACAGAAAATCCGCGAAAAAAGCATTCTTTAATTTCTTGTTTTTTATTATCTTTCATAACCACGTTTAATTTTTCTAAGTAAATAGAAGTTGATAGAATTTTATTTGTAACTTTTGGTCTTTGAAACTTAAAAACATTGTTAATTCTAAAACTTGAAGTTCATCCAACAATCAATTTTATTGAAAACTAATAAGAATATTTCTAAGGAAAAGTGTACATTTCTATGTTGAGATGTAAATTAGCGTTAGCTTTAGAAAAATGGAAATAAAATTTCATATTAAATTTTTATTTAATGTCACCGCCGCCGTTTAAGCTATATTCGGCTTAGCACGAAGTATACCGATAATGATATCGATATAGATTATCGAACAAAAATAGATAAATAAAGACGGGATTCAGAGATTTTCCCTATTCTTTATTGTTTCCCATCTATTTTAAAAATGGCCGGGGGCACGCTATGGAGAAACACCATATGGACTTTTTTCGGCTTACGTGATTACACAAAAAGCGGCTACGAACGAAACTCTAAAAAGTTCAATAAGAATGCGTTAAACGTTGACCTAACGGGAAAAATTGCCATTGTAACGGGTGCTAATGCTGGTCTCGGAAAATATGTAGCGACCGAATTGTACAGAAGAAACGCAACTGTTTATATGCTCTGTCGTGACATTACTCGAGGTGAACAAGCGAGAAAAGATATTATCAAAGAAGTCGAAGAAGTTAAAGTTGATAAAACGTTGTTGAAGTTGCGTAAAGTTGATATTTCTGATTTGAAGAACGTTCGAGAGTTTGTGGAAAGTTTGAAGAATGAGAATGATGGAAAATGTCATATTTTGGTAATTATTACTTTTTAAGTTTAATTTTTTTTTCAAATTTTAAATTTTCGAAAAGATCAATAATGCAGGAATAATGAGCAACAAACGTGAATTCACATCTTATGGCGTTGAAACAAACTTCGCAATCAACACATTGGGTACATACTATCTCACAAAATCAATGCTTCCGTTAATGCAAAAAACTGGTCCTGGAGCGAGAATTGTAAGTAATTATTCTTCATTAAATAATAGTAAAGCAACGCTCTAAATTTTTATCTTATTTAGATCACGGTCTCTTCCGGAGGAATGTACACGAACAGATTAGACATCGAAGACTTACAATTTGAAAAACTCAAACCATTCGATGGCACTATGGCATACGCTCAAACCAAACGACAGCAAGTAGAACTGACCGAATACTTGTCAAAGAGATATCCCGAACTCGAAACTGGTGTGAAATTCGTCGTTTTACATCCCGGATGGAGTGATACTCCAGGAGTAAGAACTTCAATGGAGACTTTCCATAAATATATGAAGCCCTATTTACGCTCTATTCCTCAAGGCTGTGATACGATTTTATGGGCTGCATTCTCTGAAGAAGCGGAAAATGTTCCGAGTGGATCTTTTATTTTTGATCGTGAAGTTGTATCCACGCATTTGCCACTTGCAAGGACAAGGTCGAAGCAAGGAGATGTAGAAAAGCTGGTGAATGAAATTGAAAAGTATATTACCGTTGGATTAGAAGCATCTTTCGCTACAGAAAATGTAACAAGCATTTCCTCATAGTAATTATATATTACTCTTCTAAAAAGAACACTTTAATTATTATGAATTATTATAAAAAAATTTACTATGTTAAAAAATACAAATAAAATTAATTTGGTGCGGTTGGCTCAGCATCAAAAAACTATTGCCGTGGGTGGAGTAATTCGGACTTCTCCAATTTTCGGTAATTATCCCGATTGTTGAGAACACAATGAACTTAAATGGTATTCCACAGCAGAGTATCGTACGTGCGGCAAAAGTTTTCGAACTGGAAAGGAAACCTCCCCGTGTTGAAATTACATTATAAATGGTATTCATCATTTTGACTATTTATGTGACAATGCAATGCAACTTTTCTTGTTTTACATTTAACAATTAATACAACATTACATCGTGCATGAACAATATGGCAATTTGTAGTATGAAACTGATAAAGTATCCGGCAACTGGAAAAATTAACCACCGATTGCAGCATCCAATTTTATGCGCTTAACTATCTAGAAAATAAAATTTTTTATATTTTTATTTATAAATTTTTGTATTTATCTGTATCAAATACCGATAAATTATTTGCGAAATTTAATTATAAACAGTAAGAATACCTATCTTACTATCTTAACAATCAACTATTTTAATTTCTATTTTCAGAAATTATTTTTTTTGCTCTTTTAAAATAAACTTTTTGAGTAATATCTAAAAGATCAGAGCTTATAGATTTGAAAGTGAAGAAATTGTTAGTCTATGAAAAGGCAAAAAAGACAATAAATGAATAGTAAAATATTAGATTATTCTAAATTTATAGTTGATAATATTAACAAAAACACATAAATCAATTCCAAATTACTTCAATATCATGCTCTAATAGATCTGAAATAGTAAATAATCATGTAAAATATATATATGAATATACAGTGACAACCAAAAGTAATGGCTCAGGAGCTAAATTTACTAATAAAAAATAGTGAAAAATTGTAATTTTCTCTCTATATTAAAATTTATAATTTTAATATAGAGAGAAAATTTCAATTTTCACTATTTTTTATTAGTAAATTTAGTCCCTGAGTCATTACTTTTGGTCATCACTGTATATATTTAATTATTTAAAAATTATAAAAAAAGAATTCTTTTAATAGATATTATATATTTAAATAGTATATATATATATATATAAAATTAATAATAAATATATAACTTTAATAATTTATTATTAATTTATTAATTTTATTATTTAATAATTAAACTTATTAATAATAATCTAACTAAAGAAAATCAAAAAAATAATAATAATAATTAATTAAGAATTTTATTAAAAATTTCTATTTACAAAAAAAATTATAAAGAAATATTATTATAAATTATAAATATTTTTATATTTTAAAAAATTTAATATTTAAAAATTAATTTTATATATTTTTATCAGATTTAAGATATTATTTTATATTAATATCTTTAGAAAATTCAAGTATTATTAAAAAATAAATATATATTACATAATTATTAAGAAAGAAAAAAAATCTTAAAAATTTTATTTTTTATAATATTGATATCTTTAGAAAATTTCAAGTATTATTAAAAAATAAATATATATCACATAATTATTAAGAAAGAAAAAAGAATCTTAAAAATCTCATCTTTTATATAATTAAAATAATTAATTAATCAAATATAATAAAAAATCTTATCTAAAGAGAAGAGAAAATTAGGTTTATAATAATTATATATTATATAATATATATTTATTTTCTTATAACCAATCATAAAAGTATTTGATCTTTTCTAATTAATATAGATTATTTATAATACATTAAATTTTTCTAAGCAAAAAGAATATTATAAATATTAATTATAATATTTTTTATAAATTGATAAAGCTTTTATATTAATATTATATATTTATAAACTTTTATATCTAAATATAATAAATTAATTATATTAGAATATAATATTTTGATATCTAATAATTTAATTTAAATAAGAAATAATATTATATAATTTATCTAATCCAGATAAATCAAATGATTAAATTTCACTTAAATTAAACTACTAGATATCAAGATAAAATAAATAATTTATATTTATTAATCAATTTTTTATTAGAAATTAATTACTAAAAAAATAAATTGGTTAATTTAAAATATAATATCTTGATCTTTAGTAATCTAATTTAAATAAAAATAATATTATTTGATTTATTTAATCAAGATAAATTAAATAATATTATTTTTATTTAAATTAGATTATTAAAGATCAAGATATTATATTCAAATTAACTAATTCTTTTTAATTAGTATTAAAAAATGAATTTACTCTTTAAGATATAATATTTTAATATCTAATAATCTAATTTAAACAAAAATAATACTATTTGATTTATTTTAACTAGATAAATTAAATAGTTATATTTTTATTTAAATCACATTACTAATATCAAAAATTAAATTATTAAATATTAAGTAAAATAACTAATAATATAAAAATTTATAAATATATAATATTTGATATAAAAGCTCTATTAATTTATAAAAGATATCATGATCAGTATTTGTAATATTCTTTATACTTGAAAAAACTTGATATATTATATATAATTTATAAAAATTAAAAAGAATTAGATACTTCTATAGAGTATTATATATAATAATTAATTCTAATAAAGCTAAATTATATTAAAGAATTATATTAATAAAATAATAATAATAATAATAATAATAATAATAATAATAATAATAATAATAATAATAATAATAATAATAATAA